CGGCCCCAGGGGGGGTTGCCACATGCGTCCGCCACACCCGGTACAACGCTTCTTGGCCCCATAGGGAGCTTCACCTGCGGCCCCAGTGGGGGTGGCCCCATAGGGAGCTTCATCTTGGCCCATAGGGAGCTTCACCTGTGGCCCCAGGACAGCGCTTCGTGGCCCCATAAGGAGCTCCACAGAAAGACCCCAGCGGCATCGCCCGCATGCGTCGTCCACCACCCAGTACTGCAAGTCGCGGCCCCATCTATTGGGAGCTCCACCAAGCTCCAGTGGCACCGCCCGCATGCGTCCCCCCCACCCGGTACAGCGTTTCGTGGCCCCGTAGGGAGATCCAGTGGCCACCGAATGCTTTACTGGCAACGCCCGCATGCGTCCCCCCCTCCCGTGGCCCACCGAAGGTCCCGGTGGCCCAGTGGCACGGTCCCACGCATAAGGAGCTCCACCGAAGGTCCCGGTGGCACCGCCCGCATGCGTCGGCCACCACCCAGTGAAGCGTTTCGTGGCCCCGTTGGGAGCTCCACAGAAAGACCCCAGCGGCACCGCCGGCATGCGTTTCCCCCAACCAATACAGCGCTTCGTGGCCTCATCTGGAGCTCCAGAGAGGGACACCGTCCGCATGCGTCAGCCACAGCCAGGACAGCATTTCATGGCCCATAGGGAGCCCCACCGAAGGCCACAGTGGCACCACCCGCATACGTCTCCCCCACCCGTTACGACACGCCCCTCACGCGTTTCGTGGCCCCATAGGGAGTTTCACCGAAAGCGGCACCCACAACGCGTTACTCACAAATGCATATGGTTGGGTGTTTCGCCAGGATACTTTGTTTTGACCATATGTTGCGTATGTGTTCACTTTGTTTTCATCCAAAACCCCCATGTAGGGGGGACAGGCCCGACCTAAATGTAGGTCGGGGCGTGCGGTGGTCCATTGGCTCTGATCGTCAAGTTTCTCAAAGTCGGCTTAACATGTTTGGCGCGGTGTGCCCGCAACGTCCAGGATACGAGTCCAGCTGATTTGGTATCACCCATGCGTTGACATGCTCGTGGCTCAGTAGACATCCGTAGCTGTCTGGCTCTGAGAGCCCTGAAGACGCCGAACGGCAGAAAGTTTGGCGACAGCACACACATGTCGCCTTCTCACAAGTAGGAGGCCAGAACTCGCACACTCAGGCTGAAGACATCGCAGAAGTGGACCAAAAACATATCATTGAGAGGAAGGTGCAACATGAGGGGGGGGACAGGCTCAGAAGAAGACGCATCGACTCCCAATGTCGAGTATGGCATGAGCATCAAGCTTTCCGAGCGCCGCGCGGCTTTCTTGGATCGGCGCTGGACCCCGCTGGCGGCGCCCCCGGTGCCCCCGTGGCGCGCGGAGCGCGCCGAGGAGGGAGTCCAGCGCCGATCCAAGAACTCTGAACCGGCGATGTATCGCCGATTCCAGGTCGATGTCCACCCCCCTTTTTTTTTTGTTTTTTTTTTTTTTTTTTTTTTTTTTTTTTTTTTTTTTTTTGTCTTTTTTTTTTTTTTTTTTTTTTTTTTTTTTTTTTTTTTTTTTTTTTTTTTTTTTTGTTTTTTTTTTAGATGTAAAGCAGCCTGTTTTTTAAGACTCTTTGGCAAGTTATTGAATTGGACGGGGGGGGGGCTGAGCCTGAAGCAAGCCCGGCGGGGGGGGCGCGGAAATCACGCAAGTCGAAAGGCACTTGCACGCTAGTATTCGCTTGAAGAGGGGCGAGGGGGGGGGGGGAGGCGGACGCCATGCAAGTAAACTTGCCCGAATCCAAAAAGGCTCAGGTCGATGTTCACCCCCCCGTTAGATTCAAAAGAGGATCCGGGCTGGGCGGAGGAGCCGCCGTTCTCTGAACTGGATCTCCTCCGAGAAGAGGACTGCGAGCACGACGACGAGGTCGACGACGGCCGAGGTGCCAGCGAGGGAGACGACGAGGACTATGTACAGCGATTCAGGAGGCCCCCGGTGGACCTCTATAAGTATTGGGGCCATCTTCGGCCGTGTTGGTCTCTTCGGGGGAGGGGGAGGGGGAGGAGGAGGAGGGAGGAGGGAGGAGGGAGGAGGGAGGAGGGGGAGGAGGAGGAGGAGGAGGAGGAGGAGGGAGGAGGAGGAGGAGGAGGAGGAGGAGGAGGAGGAGGAGGGGGGCCCCGTGAGATGGTCCTGGAGGCTTTTCTTCGTCCCTCGTGGCCGTCTGGTGGTGTCCCGACGGAAGCCCTGGGGCACTCTTCCGGGGTGGCTCTGGTTTGACACCGCAGGCTTCCCAGTTCAGGAGCGAAACTAGGACGTACATGTACATGAATCCACGTTGGTTTCGAGAGCACGCATTGCACAAATGTTCGCAGAACGCGGCGGGTCGCGCGGATCGAGGGGCCGTGTTCATGCACATAGCTGGGCGCGTACGTCCTTTGTGGGCTCCCTACCAGTAGACGCACGGACAAGAGACGGAATCGGAGAGGCACGGCCAGGGGCAACGACAGGGGAAGGGGGCGCGTAGGCCCAGGGGGTAACTGCATCGACCACCAGACGCCCGGGTGCCCCAGCGCGCCAATCGGGACCCGGGTGCCCATCCCCGCCGAGGAGCGTGCGGTCCTGCCATCGAGGGCCTACCGCCGACCTATCAGCGGCACATCGTTGTATCGCCGAGAGTCCACGTCACCGCGCGCCCCCCCTGAGCCAGCCCCCCCCCCCATCATCCCCCCCCCCGCGTAGTAGACAACGGAATGGACACAGAATTGGAGAGGCAAGCGGCATGAGCGAGGGAAGGATCAGGGAAGTTGTCGAGAGGGGCGTTGGGGGAATGTCGGTCCTTCAAGAGATTCCACAGCCTGGTCCGTAGCCAGCTTGGCTCAAGCGCTCTCGGTGAAGCTCCCGCTCTCTGAACACCGGTCACGGAATCGGTGTCTGGGCGCCTGCGCACAAAACCGAGCGCGACGGGGATGCAGCTGCAACAGGAGTCCTGCCATGCGACGAATTCGATGCAGGGTGCTAGGAACCATGACATGCAAATCAACGTATTGATGCTATTGCTTGTCGCCGTCTTTGCCCTGGGCAAGGTGACTCAGGACGAGGGGACGGCCGAATTCTGGATCGTTCTGATGCCCGTGCTGACCTACGCCGTCGGATGTGCCAACGCGAGGAAGAAGCAGGCGTATCTCAAGTTGAGGCTCGCCAGCGAGATGCGCGAGAGCAGCACGCCCGAGTCCACGCTCAGCGTCTTCGACGACATGGCGGAGCAAGGCCTCGCGCCTGACGAGGCGGCCTTCAGCAAAACCCTCTGCGCCTGTGCGCGGCTCGGCAGGATCGACCGGGCCATGCAGGTGCGCGAGCAGATGCCCCTCCACGGCTTCTTCCCCGGCGCCGAGGCCAACGTTGCTGTGATCAGGGCCTGCACCTCCGCCGGCAGGCTCGGGGAGGCGCTGTTCATCTTCGAGGAGTGCGCCCAGCCCAGCCACCTCGCCTACCGCGACGCGACTCACTGCTGCATCGGGGCGGAGAGGCTCGGGCGGGCCGTCGTGCTGTACAAGGAGATGGCCCAGTCGGACGTGCTCCCCTGCGCCAGGACGTTCCGGCGCCTGCGCGGCGCCGTCCACGAGCAGGGCTGGGCGGGGTCCGCAGCCGAGCTTCTCGAGGTCTTCGCCTGCTGGGGGAAGAGGATCGACGCCACGGCAGATGACGACGCCTCTATCGAGTTCAGCGGGGACGCGGGGGGCGCCGATTCCGAGTGAGGCGCGTGCTCTTCCAGAGGGTCCCGCCAGCGCGAGCAGACAGAAGCACCGTTCACGGCACATTCGGCCGCGACGGTAGCGTTGATATGAGGGGGGGGGGGCCCAGCACCCTGGTTGCTGGTTGCGTCGCCTTTGGGGGCAATGAGCCCCCTGGTCTTCCTTCCTTTCTGGCGACGCCAATCGACAGATGCAGACTTCTCAGGGGCAATGGCCTTTCTCTGCCTCTCCGAATGCGGAGCCGATTCTCTTTCACCCCACTGTCTACACTTTTCCTCCTTTTGGCCCGCGTAGTATTAAGTCGGGCATGTCCCTCTACAGGAGGAATATTCAAAATAGTCAAAAAATAGTCTGGGGACGATTTGTTGACCCTTCTTTGGTATCTTTTTTTGAATAGCTTTTCACTGTATGTCATGTTGCGTCCAAAATCCCCCTGTAGGGGTACAAGCCCGACCTAAGCGTAGTACCATTTTGACGGCCAGTCTTTCTGGTACCATGGGCAGCTCATCGCCTTGCCTCGCTTCCCGGATCGGCGCCCAGCGGTCTGGTCAGCGAGCGCAGAGGCACCACTTCTCCGCCGCGAGCCGCTTGTCATGGCGCCAACATCGCAGAGCGGATTCTGTCCGGAAAATGATAGGATGGGCCTGGAGCGTCCTGGAGAATTTCGTTCCGGATTTCGCAGTGAATTTCGTGCGGATTTGTCTTGGCGGGGAATGAAGACCAAAAAGAATCCACGCGAAATTCATGCCGTTTTTCGCTCGCCGTCTCGGGTTTGCATTGATAGAAATCCACGCCAAAATCCGCTGCAGCACGTCTGTAAGGTCGGTGCTATGAACAGCGCGCGGTCTGCAGGTCAAGCATGACATTGAAGGTAACTTTTTTGACCTCACCCTTACTCTTCGCCCCCCTGTCTTTTCGATTCCCCTCGTACACTTTCTCCCCATCCATCCTTCCCCTCCTCGGCAGTGGCTCAGTCGGCACCAGAAACTGCTGGGCATTAGGGGCATGCAGAGGCGTTGGCATCGATGATCTCCACTGCACAGCTCCTGGTTCGTGTGCGTCCATTACTTTTTGCGGGCGCACGTGGTGCGGATTCAGCAGCCTTGTATGCAGGGGCATCCTGTCAGGGCCTTTCTAATATTTAACCCCATGCTTTGTTTCTGCTGTTCACAATGCGCCGTTTGCACTGCCGCCCCGCGTTTTCTCAGCCGTGCCACGGGCGCTGCGCAGAGGCATTGGCCTCGGCGGCTCCTCCTTGCACGGTCCGAGACGCCAGGCAGCACTCGAGGGCGCACTCTTCGATGCCATTCAGGCGTGCTGAAGGAGTGAGTCCACCAGGAAAGGAGGAGGAGGAGGAGGAGGAGCTGCCGTCGTTGTCCTCATCCCCGCCCGGGCGGTGGCGTGGTGTGAGGCCTCAGGACTCTGCGGGCAGCGCGGCTCGGTGCCACTGAGCCGGTCGGCCCCACTCCGCAGCAGCCCGGTTTCGCTCTCGTCCAATTTTTGTTTTTGCGGTGGTGAGCTCCGCCCCGCAGACATAAATTTTTGGCGCTCCGCGCGAGCTTCTTGGATCCGCGCCGGGGCCCCCCGGCGGCGCCTCCGGCGCCGCCCCTGGCGGGCTCTGCGCGCCAGGGAGGGGGGGGGGCCAGCACGAACCCAAGAAATCCGCGCGGAGCGCCAAAAGCTTATGTCTATGTGGCTATGTCTTCTTCCACTGGAGGGGGGGAGGGAGGTGCGGGAGCTCCGTTCGGCAGGAGCGCCACGCAGCGTGGCGCTCCCGCAGCAGCGCCCTCGCCGAGGGGCCGTGCTGGCCGGCCGGGCGCCCCGCCCGGGGTCGAGGACGCGGCCGCTGCCGACCACACGCTCGGCAGGGGCTACGCCAGGACCAGGAGCATCGCCCCGGGTGGCGCAGCGAAGAGAGTCCCATGTTGAAGCTCGCTGAGGGGCAGCGAACGCGATCTGTGTTTCTGGGGCGACGGGGGGGAGGGCAATGCTTCTGTAGGGCAAGAGCAAGCATAGCAGCCCAATCGTCGACAAGAGCAAACCTGAAATCAGAGCTTCTCGCGAAGGGCGGCTGGAAGGATTGCTGTTGACCGATCAAGCGCGC